AAATTAGTTAGCATAAATCAGTTAAATGATGAAAAATTAGGTGTCTATTTACTTGTGACCACTCAGTGTCTATGGATACACAAGTATATGATTACATAATGTTTAAAATGCCCAAATCTTGTTGTTTAATTTTATATATGATTCATTTCATTAAGCCCAACGATGCCAGTGAGCCTAAATGCAGGATTCCGGATGCCATCTTGGTTTGATCTCATGACTTTTGATGTGAATGGTCCAGAAGATGAACCTGGCATAAAGAAAGCAGCTGAAACAGGTACAGTCAAAAATGGGTTAAGCTTAACATATTTTTATATGTAAAATATGAACGTTATTCTATTCTTTGTGTGTGTGTGTGTTTCTATATATAACATGTAGTTTATTTAAGCTAATTTGAAAGTGTTTACAAATTAACTGTAATAAAATGTCAGTTTTTCTTATTACACTTTTAACATTTGATTATCTTAACCTTTTTTTGTTTAATTTATAATACTGTGTTATGGAAATTTAATATGAAATCAACAGCTCTTTGTAATGTTTAAATAAAGCAAATTATTAAGAATTGTTTGTAATACAAAATTAATGTAAAAGATAACTTTTGTATTCTTAAAGTGTCTTAGAAGTCATCTTATAATACTTTTAAATTAAGTCACAAATTTATTGAAGTAAGTAGTTCAGAATTTTTCAGTTATAATTAGCACAGCTTTGTAGTGATATACAGACTATTATATGTTAGTGACAAACTGTAATATACAGTCTTAAAAATATTAGATTTTACCTTCTGTTTATATAAGGTGTATTTAAATAAGTATTGGGTGTCACAAATTTCCTTTAAACTTGCATAAGTAAATAATATATTACAAAGACACGTGTTTATATTAAGATCTTAACATAGTGACAAGTACAAAAATGTGGTAAGTTTTGAGGAATTTTAGCTTTCAGCTATGTTAAAAACTTCTGATTGTAGTAAAGCATGGGAGATGTGGTCTCAAACGTTAACCCTTTTGGTGCGTAAAACATATTGGGCTGGTTTCCAAAAAGTGTTAATTATCCACCAAAAAATTAAACTAGGAATTTGACCTTTTCTAGTATTTTGTGAAGCCATGGGGTAAATCTTTTTTGTTACATCAAATGGCTATAAATGTCAAAGTTGATATATCCGCTTGATGCATCGTAAGGGTTAGTGATAAAAATATTTCATTTTAATCAAGTGGTACTTATATCATCAAAACGTGATCAAGTACGTGATCACAAAATATTTCAGTTCAGCTAATAACAGTAGCATATTATGTGGTATTGTTTCCCAAAATATCACAAAAACAATATATTTTGTTTAATATATGCCTTAATCATAACTAAAATATGGGTTCATATATGTTATTTTAATAAGAAAATAGTTTCAATATCAAGATTTACCTGCAAGAGATGAGGCTAAGTGCAAGTATTAGTTATAGAAGAATATTATTGTAACTCCCAAGCAAAACACTGCAGACTAAACAATGTTGAATTATTAAGGTTGGAATCTTTTACGCGGTACCTGTGAACGTAGTTGTTGAGGTGGTCTGTATTTTCAGTTTAATCTGTAAATTACTGACATGTTTTTATACCATTCATCACCAATGGAATTCACATTTTGCATCAGAATGAAGTAATTTTTCTTCTTCTTTCTATTGTACAAAAACTTATAAAGAACTAACTAAAAATTTGGATGAAATAACTAATTTTAACATAAAATATATTGGGTATGGTACCCCAGCAATTTGTAGGACTGATAATTGTGGTGCTGATGGTATGTATCTCTGTGTATGTTTTTTATGTGACTCATTACATTACTAAGAGTCCTGTCTGAGGCTGTATCCAAAAGTTGTATGGCTTGAAAACTAATATGATACATAAATAGTTTAACAAGAAAATTTTTTAGATCAAAAAGTATTTGTATGGACCTCATAGGTAGTTCTTGGGTTAATGTTTATGAACTCTTTTAAAGACGTGAATAAATTTTTTGTAGAAATCAAAATGTCATTCATCAGGAGCATTCAAAATGGAAGTTATAATTGTACAGTATGAAACTAGTTTTATACTTTAGCTTCTGAAATTATTTGTGACTGTGTGTATGAATATCAAACCTGTTTTCGCATTGCATTTCCACAATGATATTGCATTTCCAACTGTGTGTAATATGTCTTGATAAGGTGCTTTAGTGACTGTTATATGATATGTGTTGTGGTGATGTAATGTGAAAGCCCAATTTTCGTAAAATGTATATTCACTGATATATTGAAATCTGAAAAGACTTACTTTCTAAAAGGAATAAATTAGAAGAAATTGTTTTAAGATCTGGCAACACATCTTTAAAACCATGCTCACAGAAAACGTGAAACAGTAAAAAGTGTCAGTACTAGAACTACTATTTACTCTCATATTTTTAATCGCTGGGCTCATTAATTGATTACATATAACTAATCAGTTATTTTTGCATGAGATTAATCTTCCTATTTTCGTACTATTTTGGGTTCTTTTAAAGATATTTATAAACTATCCTTCATATAATATGATAAACATCTTCAGGTACAACAATTTAGAATTGAGTTACAAATTTTCAAAAGACTACTACTTAAAATTGTGGGGGAGAGTAGGATCCGTGAATGTTTTGTTATGAAGTGTGGTTTGAGATTATTAATCTTGCCATCCTTTGTAAAACATATTAGATTGAAAGGTATCAGGCAGTAGTACATATTTCAGCCTTGAGACTGAACAAGATCAATAATGGAAAAAGTATTGTCATGGGTAACATAAAACCCAGAACATTTCTAATAAAGTGCATTTAGTTCTTAGTAATTAAACTTATTTGAAACAAAAATGCTTGAAGATATTTTTTTTCTCTATGTGCATTGTAAATAGTTAAATATATATATTGTTGCGTCATTGAGATCATGTGATTCTCACGCTCTCTACTTTCTAGAATTATCCTGTATATTGGCGAATGTTCTAGTTCTTGCTGGATATAGGGTAGGCTGGTG